CTTTAACTGCTAGGAAGTTTTTTTTTTTTTTTTTTTTGCTACTAAGTCTAAATACGCCTCTTTGAAATTTCCACCCGTTGCTCTTGATTCCATCCTCTGGGATCAAACAAAACAAATCTATGCTGCCTTCCACCCAACAGCTCTTCAGATGCTTGAGAACAGCTCTCACTCTCGCTTGAGTCTTCTCTTCTGGTTAAACACACCAGTTACTCCAACCAGTCCTCCTAAGTCACAGCCTCAAGGTCCTTACATCTCAACCTAGGCTGACAACTGAACAAAATACTCCACAGGAATTCTGGGCAGAACAGGGCAGAATATAGTAGTAGGAGCATGTCACCTCTCTATTCCTGGAAGCTAGGCCCATCTTAATGTAGCCCAAGATGACACTGGCATTTCTGGTGACCACATCACACTGTTAATGCATACTGAGTTTGCAGTGCACTAAAACTTCCAGTAATCTGGCCTCTTTCCCTACCATTCTACTGAAACTACTCTCTCCAATGCACTAATGACTTTATAATTGCCAAATCTGACAGTTTTCACTCTTCATCCTTCATCTTTTTGCAGCATTTAACACTCTTGCTCAGCACAAAAAGCCCTCTTTTCCTCTTTCTCTACATCATCCATAATGCTTAACTCATCAGTTCCCGTGAGGATAATTATCATCCTGTCTATGCTGATGATTTCCAGATCTATATATCCAGGCCTACATATCTCTCCTAAGCCCCAGTCAGGAATCACCAACTGCCTACTGAACGTTTTAGAACTTAATATCTTTCACCCAAAACCCAGGCCTTACCCAGATCTTCCCAATTTTTGTCAAGGGCATCACTAACCTTGATGGGTTCACAATCTCAGAGTCATTTTCGACCCCTCACTCTCACTCTCTCTCACCCATGTATCTAAATTCACTGTCAAGTTTTGCCAAGTTTATCTTCATTCCAGCTCTTGCATTCTTCACTTCTCTCTACTCCAGCCACCACACTAACTCAGGCCTTTGTCACTTCTCAATATCCTAATTGTTCTCTCTGCCTCTAGTCTCTCTTCATACTGATCCATCCTCTACACAGGCTGCCAAAGTTATTTTTCTAAAGCACGGGTCTGATCATAGCACTATCATGCTCAAACAGTTCCAGTGGTTCCCTGATACATGCAGGATCAAATAAAAACTCCTTTGTTTGTAATTTCTCAACTAGCCTTTCCAATCTTATTAATCATTATTCCTTTTCATGCACCCCATGGTGCAAGCAGATTATCTTTCTTCCTGTTCTTGGCATCTTACATTCCTCTTATCCCTGTGGCTTTGAAGAGGCGTTTTCCTATGCCTCGAATTCATCCCCTATCATTTTTGCCTCTTAGAATCCCTAGTTTCCTAGAAAGCTCATTTCAAATGCCACCTTCTATGAGGCCTTTTCTGATGTCAACTGCTAATGCCTCCCTCCTTACCAAAAATCACCATGTATATATTTTGTATATATTTATATACATACATGTTTTCTCTCCTGATACAAGGTAAACTCCTGGAAGGCAAGGACTGTGTCATTTTTGCTTTTGTTACCTAGTGTCTGGCACATAACAGGGGGTTAATAAATATTTGCTCATTAATTGTTTGACCACTCTATCCTCCTTAACATTCTCTGCTCTCTTAGTTTCCATGACACTAGCCAATCCTTGTTCTCCTGTTTCTTTGCTAGGTATTAATAATAGCAACAACATCATCAACAATAAGTGATATTTATAAAGTACTTTAGGGTCTCAAAAGCACTTAAGGCTCAGGTCAAAGGCCACCTTCTTAAAGAGGCTTATGGTGATACCCCTTATTATTAATGCTTTTATGAACCGGCAAAAATAAGTATGGTCCCAACTTCTTAGGATGTATGTATGTATATTAAGGCTAATAAATCCACAAAGTGGGCATTACCCGCCCCTAAGCCTCTTGTGGGATGGTACAGTTAGAGATGAGTTCCTTATGTCCCTGCCCCACATTCCTCACTCCTGATCAGGCAATTTAGAAAATACCTTCATTTCACTGGTCCCAATATCTTCCCTGAGAAGGACAGGGCAAGCTTTTATCAGCGACGAGTAAGTTATTTGTCTAACTCTATAGAAGTTTTAGCCCTGAAAGCTTCTAGGCCTTTGACAGGAGGGTGAAGGTGCTTTTAAAGTTCCGTGCCCAGAAACCAACCCACTGTGTGCCACCTGTAGTTGAGTGCCACGGGGGCTGCACACTAAGACTACTGCATCTTGGCATTTGTTTTCCTCCTCCCCTTTTAAGTAGTAATAAAGTTTTGTTAACTGCTCTCCCTGTGGGGCTCTTCATCTTAACTGGTCTGCACTACAGCTCCCTACCCAAGCCAAAAATTACTTTTATATTTTGTACTTAAACTAATAAGATTCTTAATAACAGGAACTGTTTTATCTCTCTTTTAACATGGTTCCTGGCACATAAATGGACTCCAACTCCTTAATTGTGTGTGTCTACCATAGATGCTAATTCCTGTTCTCTTTCTGTAATTGCTCTCAGAAAACACTTCTACTCCCATAGCTTCTTTTATAACCACTACACAAATGACTACCTAATCCAGCCTCCATCTCTCTCCTGAGTACCAATCTCACAATCCCATTCTAAAACTTCAGTTCACATGATCAAAAGATGGAGGATTTGACATTTTCTCTGACCCTGACAAAACCTCTCCTAAACAGACATTATTGCGCCAAAGATAAAGCAACTTCAGCTATCTCCCTGATCTAGGACACCAGAAACTCAAAAGAAGGTAAAAAACTCCATGAACTAATGCCTAATTTGAGTTCACTAAACACCTCTTCCCCTACTGCCCACTATGCTACCAGCAGCAAGACTACACTAGTGACCACTGCACAGGCTGGCAAAAATAAAAAATCACAACCCCACAACGAAGGCCCATGTCTCTCTTTCTAGTACCATAGAGATCCAAGCTCCAAAGTAAAAATTTACTAAGGCCTTCACTGCTAGTACATGGCAGGGCTCTGTGCTGCAAAAAATCCCTTCAGTAGAGTGGAGGATCAATAACCCAACCCCACCCCACCTCTCCTCTTCAAGCCATTGTGAATTAAACTGCAAATGACAGCAATCAAGCCAGGCTGCAACAGCACCAAATGGCAGTGGGGTGTACTGCTAGGTGAGAGGATTAAGAAACAGAGGAAACAGGACAAGACAGGACGGGGCATCATGCGGAAGGAGCAGCATGGTAATCCATTAAATCTAAGGGAAAGAGCCCAGCATCTGGCTGGGGCCATTTCTATTCCCCCCAAAAGGCACTGAGGCAACGAGGTGGCACAGCAGATAGAGCACCAGGCCTGCAGGCAGGAAGATGTGGGTTCAATTTCAGCCTCAGACACTTATTTGCTGTGTGACTCTTGGCAAGTTACTTAACCCCTATTTACTTCAGTTCCTCATCTGTAAAATAGGGACACACTGAAGAAGAAAATGACAAATCACTCCAGTATCTCTGCCAAGAAAACATCATAGACAAAGTCCATGGGGTCACATAAAGCCAGAAATGAATGAACAACAAAAAAAGTCACTCAGGGCGAAGACCTAAGCTGGTGAGCTGTTGATTGCCTAGCATAGGAAGTGACTGAAATACTTTAAAATCTACCATCAGAGGGAAATGCATCAGAAAGTGAGGAACAGGGGAAAATAAAAGGAGAAAAAAAGATTGAAATTACCAAAGATCTCAGGAGGAAGAAAACTCAAAAGTCTTCAAGCATAAGCAGATAAACCAAGACAGAAAACATTATCAGAAGGAAATATGGCCTCTAGATCTACTAAACAAGTTCAGGCATCCAGTGCTTAGCACAGTGCCTGGCACGTAGTAGGTACTTAATAAATATTTACTCAATTAATGAAATACTGTTAAAAAAGAAAAAAAGGTAAATGATTCAATACTTGATGAGACAGAGGACCTTGAGAATTTTGATAATGTGGAACTAGAACACACTGTTCTTTAGTGATTTAAAAGAGAAATGAGAGTTATAATTATGGTCTGCAAAGCAGAAACAATTAGCAGAATAAAAAAATATAAATATGTGATGGTAATCTCACTAAAGAAACAAAAGAGAAGACAACTGATTGGTTATGCAAAAACACGGAAGTGAAGGACTATCTAGAAGAGAAGCAAAAAGCATTAACACTGAAATAAAACATGTACTCTATTCTAGTAAAATATATTGATCTTGAAGACAGACCATGTAGAAACAGCTCATCCCATTTTGGATACCTGCACTTAGCAAGGTATCCTGCTAGCACCTTAACTGTAACATGTTTAAAACTCAACCTTTCCTGTTCCTTCCTCCTAACTTGTTTCTCCTAACAAACTCCCTACCTAATTCTATTATGTTACTAACCCCCTTATAGTCACTGGGGATCAAAACCTCACAGTTATCTTTGACTCTTTCCTTTCCCACCCATATCCAATCTGTTGCCAAATCCCAGCAAAAACAACTCTGGAGTCTATCCCCTTCTCTCTATTCATATTGTCATCACCCTAAATCAGGGGTGGGGAACCTGCAGTCTCAAGGTCACATGTGGCCTTCTAGGTCCTTGGGTGCAGCCTTTTTTTTTTTTTAACAGAACAAATCCTTATATTAAGGTGATTTGTTATGTGAAGTTTGGATTCAGTCAAAGGGCCCCACCCACTTGAGGATCAAGAGGGCCACATATGGCCGCAAGGCCTCAGGTTCCCCACCCTGCCCTAGTTCCAAGACTCTCATCTGGATTGGTATGTCTCAGCTAGTCCTCATAAGTTTATCTATCTCCAGTTTTTCCCTTCTCCAATCTATGCTTTAACTACTGCCCAAATGATCTTCTTAATGCAAAGGTATGCCCATATCACTCCTCAGTTCAAACATAGTCTGTATATCCTCAATGACTCAGGAGAAAATAAAAACTTTTTAGTCTCCCATTTAAAGCCTCTAAACTCTAATCCAATCCATTTCTCTAGCCTTTTTTACATTACTCTCCTTTATGCACTCTACAATAATTATGGCCTAATGACTATTCACCAAAGTTTTCATGTACTCTCTTCAGCTCTGTACACTCTCACAGACTGCCTCTTTGGAAGACACTAGCTCTTCATTTTTTCTTTTGTAAATCTCTTCTATCCTCCCAGGCCTACCTCAGGTGTTACCCACTTCATTAAACCTTCCTGGATCCTTCCCTGACACCTTCCCACCCCACCCCACCCCTCCCCTCCCCGCAAAAAAAGCAGTATGTCTCTTCAAATTATCTTAGAGCACAGTATGTACCTCTCATTTGTCAAGTAGGTGGTACAGTGAATAGAGTGCTGGCCTTGGAGTCAGGAAGACCCAAGTTTAAATCAATCTCTGACACTAGCTGTGTGACTCTAGGCAAGTCATTTAGCCTTTCCAAGCACCAGTTTCCTTATATAAAATGGTGATACCACCACCTAGTTCACAGGGCTGTTATTGAAGACCAAATCAAACAAGATATTATATGTAAAGCACTCTGAAAAGCTTAATGGATGTTGGCTATCATCATCATCATTATATTCTATCCCATATCATATTTATATGTATACATGTCATAACCTCTGATTAAATTGTAAACTCCCAAAGGGCAAGAGCTATTTTTTTCATCTATTTCCAACACCTGGAAGATAGTGAGCACATGATAAATGATAAATCACATTCACTTGGTAAAAAACATCAAGTATTTTCTTACCTTACAGATCACATGACTTGTTTGCTGTACAAAGTGTGACTGTTCTAAAAGCCATAGGGACGTGAGAATGGCAGCTGCTGAGGTCCTTACCCGTATGACAGGACTGTACTGGCAGGATGATTCAGGTTTAGTGGAGTCACAAAGCAATCTTCTATCAGACCATCTTATCATCCATTCTAATAGTTTTGCTATACTGCCAAATTTGTTCTTTAGTTCTGGAGAAAGTTCTTCATGAGGAATAATGTCACTCCATTGAACTGCTTTGTAAGTGAATTTTGTAGTCTTAAAGTTTTGTGGAAGAAAAACTTGTTTTGGTAATCTGTGGGACATGGGTATCTCTCTATTGTCATCTTTGATTCTGTACATCGATTTTTCTTTTAAACCAAACAAGCCTTTCTTTCCTGTGCTTTTAATTACTTCATTCGAAGAGTTTTGTATAAAAGATCTTGGCCCTTGAACAACTAATACTGAAGGTGAAGATGTTTGATTTCCCAAATTTTTGAAGTTTTCACTATTCAAAGTAGACGATTTTTCAGATTCACAAGACTCAGGAATAATAACATAGCAGGAGCCAGCTCTGAATACATTCTGGCTTGTGGGTTTGCCCTGACGACGCTTTAATGTAGTGTGAACATCAAAAAGCAAAGAATTAAGCTCATGTTTCTTAAGATGGGCTGAAAAGCTACTTAGAAAAGGAATACCAGGATTATTAGAACCAATCAGGTCTTTTTCAAGTACATAACTCAGGAACAGATCAAGGAATTTAATATATTCATCATCGTCACGTTCAAATTCCCAAACACCTACTACAGGAACTGTATTTTCTCTAGGTAAATTTTCACGATCACCTTTCCTTTCAGGACATTCTTCTGAGTTGAACTTTTTCTTCTTATTGTCATGCTTACTAATCAATGTGAATTCCGCATGATTCTGGGCATTCCTATAACAAAATATTAAAAAAATTAATTCAAACTAATGCTTCATTACTGACAAAAGTCTTCTCCCATAAACAGGTCAATTAATTCCTTTGGGCCTTAATTTCCCATCTATAAAAGGGAAGAGGTGGGAATGGGCAGTAGGGCAGGCTGCTAATGATCCTGCCATCGAAGACCTCTTATAACTTTGAAAAACTGATGATTCTCTGAAACGCAATACATAAAAGATATCAAAGGGAGAAATATGTGAAGTGAAATTAAAATTATGTAAAAACACATAAAATCTACCAGAAAGAAAAACACGAGGTGATCCTTTTACACCTCCCTGACTATCCCACACTCACCACAGCAGCTTTTCCAAACATTTTGTCCCTTTTTTTAAAAGGGATTTCTTGCCTGAGAACCTTGCCCCACATTTCACTGAAGAAACCAAGGCCATTTACTGAGAGCTTCCTATTCTCCCCCTCCTCATCATTCAGTACTCAGATGCCTTCTGCCCCTCTCCACACAAGTGACTCATTCCAGTCCATCTTCTCCAGCAGACTGCTCCCTCTATCATCTCTGCTCTCTCACTAATCTTCAATCTCTTCCTATCTACTGATTGCTTTCCTATTGCCCACAAACATACCCACCATTCCCCATTTTCAAAAACTCCTTATCTGATCCATCCATCCACTCCCACTGGTTATTGTTTAATCTCTCTCCTCCAATGTGTGGTTAAACTCCTTGAAAAAGCCATCTAAAATAAGTGCTTCCACTCCCTTTCCTGTCACTCTCTGAAGTCTTCGAAGTCTGGCTTCCAACCTCATTCAATGGAAATGGCTCTCTCCAGTGAGAGTTGAAATGCTTTCTCCAGTTCTAATGGCCTTTTCTCAATGCTCATCCTTTTTAATACTTTTGTAACCTTTAACACCGTCAATCATGTTCTGCTCCTTGATATTTTCTTCTTCCTAGGTTTCTGTGAAACTGCTCTATCTACTCCTCCTGGTCCGACCATGACTTTTCAGTCTCCTTTGAGCTGTAATCTTCTTCCACATCTCACTTGATAACCATGGACATCCCACAATGCTTTGTCTTGAGTCCTCTTTTATTCTCCTCCTATATTATTTCACTTGATGATCTTATCATCCTATGGATTCACTTATCATCTCTATGCAGATGTTTCTCAGACTTAGATCTGAGAAACATCTGCATAGAGATGATAATTGAATCATAGAGGATCCCAAATTTATTTGGCCTACTGCCCCCTTTTAAAAAAATTTATTCAGTGCCCCCCTGGAAATCTACTTTCTTTAACCCTTTAATGTTTTTTTTTTTATTTTGTGTCATTTCAAAAAAATACCACCCCCCTGGATTATTCCAGCGCCCCCCTCAAGGGGCAGTATCACCTATTTTGGTAACCTATGAACTTCTCTCCTAACCTCCAGACTCCAATTTCCAACTGTCTACTGAACATATCAAACTGGATGTCCCACAGACATCTTAAATTTGACACATACAAAACCGAACTCATCATTTTCCCCTCCAAGCACTCCCTTCTTCCTAAATTCCCTACTGCTGTCGAGGATACCGCTATCCTCCCAGTCCCCTAAGGCTCACTCCCCATATCTAATTTGACACCAAGTCTGATCAATTTTATCTCTGAAATATTTCTTGAACATGCCCACTTCTCTCCTTTGCTACTGCTACCAACTGGTGCTGGCCCTCTTCCATTCAGAACTGGGACTGGTGTGCAGTAGCCTTGGGGTGATCTACCTGCAACAAGTCTCTCTCCACTCCAAGCCACCCTCCATTTAGCCAACAAAGTAATTTTTCTAAAGTGTAAGTTCAATTATGTTAAACCTCCCCATACACTCTCCATAAACTCCAGTGACTCCCTATTACCTCCAGGATCAAATATAAAATCTTCTGTTCAGTCTTCAAAGCCCTTCCTAACCTAGTTTTTCCTAACTTTCCAGTCTTCATACACCTTACACCTCCCTCCCTACCCCTTACAACATACTCTTCAATCCAGTTACCTAGTGACACGTCACCCTGCTAATCATTGAACAAGATACTTCATCATCCGACTCTGGGAATTTTCGCTGGCTGCCCTTTACGCATGAAATGCTATCTCTCCTCATTTCTGCCTCCTGACTTCACTGGATTCCTTTAAGTCCCAGCTAAAACTCTACCTTCTACATAAAGCCTTTCCTGATTCCCCCTTAATTCTGGTGCCTTCCCTCTATTGATTATCTCCAATTTATCCGGTATACATTTTATGTGTACATAGTTGTTTTCATGTTGTCTTCCTAAGGAGACTGTGAGCAAACAGGGACTTTCTCTGTATATCCAGCACTTAGCCCAATGCCAGTCACATAGTAGGTGCTTAATAAATGATTGACTGATGAGTATTTCACCAAGAAGTACTTTTATATACATTATTTTCCACAATAAATTCAAATAGATATGTGAACATTAAGTCCATACCATTTAAAAAAAAAGTAGAGGAGATTATACATCTTCTCACAGCTAAGAGGAATTCCTACACAAACAAGAGCTCTGTATGAGTATTTCTACTCATACCCATCCCAAGTGAAATACAGATGAGGCACATATGAAAAACAAAACATAATTTTGATTACATGAAAATGAAAAGCTTTTGCTTGAACAAATGCATCTAGAACAGTAGTAGAATGAGAGAAAATATTTGTATTAAGTATCTCTGATAAGGGTTTGGTATCTATAATATATAGATATGTAACAGAAATAGATAAGACCAAAAGTCATTCTCTAATAGGTAAGTGGTAAAGAATGTGAACAAATAATTCTCAAAAGAATTTTGAACTATTAAAAACCATAAAAATTTTCCAAACCACTTATGATAAGAGAAATGAAAAGTAAAACAACTCTGAGGTTTCACCTCATGCCCAGCAAACTGGCAAAGATGACAAAATAAAGGAATAGTCAATGTTGGAAGGGCTGTGAAGAGACAGGCACATTAATGCATTGTTAGCAGAGCTGTGAATTAGTGTAACTATTCTGGAAAGTAATTTGGAATTATGTAAATAAAATGGCTAAAATGTCCAAATCCTTTGACCCAGAGATTCTATTGCTAGGCATATTGCTAGACAATAACAAAAAGAAAGGCTCCATATACACCAAACTATTTATAGCAGCGCTTTTTGTGGTAAAAAATAACAGGAAACAAAGTAGCTGCCCATCAACTCAGGTACAAATTGAGGCTAAACAAACAGTAGTACAAGAATATAGTGAGTATTGCTATGCTATAAGGAACAACAAACATGACAAATATGAATACAGAGATGCATGAAAAGATTTACATGAACTGATGCAAAGTGAAGTAAACAGAGGCAATGAAACAATATGCAAAATGATTTTAACAATGTAAAAGGAAAGAAAGATCATAAAATAATTTAAAATGAATGTTTTGAGAGCAGAGCAACAGAAAGCAGTGCAGCAAGCTCCTCACTCAAAGCTTTTCCAAAAAGATATAGGAAATGCACCAGTCTGAATTTGGAGGCAAAACAACAAGAAAAAGTCATAGTAAATCATTTTCCAGCCAAGATTGGTATAGAAAGACAGACAGGTCTGTAGACAATGGGGATGTTTTCCCCCAAAGAAAATGATATTAAGTGAGCTCCACAATACCCTTGATCTGAATTTACTTACTCTCTTTTTTTTTCGGATGACAAAGCTTCTGAGAAAGTATCTGCTGTCTCTGTATCACTATGAGCCAGAGAATTCCCTACTTCAGTAAGAGTGCTCCTGCTCAAACTGGCCCCAGGTGAAAACTGGTCATAAGCATGAATCTTATTATCTGTGGTCTCTTCTTCAGGTGGTTCCCAGATATTCACTTCAAAAGGGCCTATATTCCTCCTCACTCGTTTCAGAGCTTTCACTCTCACTTTGTAAATAGAATGCATAATAACAGACATCATTTCCTCAGTTTGTGGCCCTAAGAGGAAAAGGATGATCAAAGAGAATTTAAGGTTACATTCAATAAATAAATGTTTAGGAGGATAAGATAGATATCTATTTCGGTAGCAGAAAAAACAGAAGTGAGGGAACAGATTTTGATGACCTTCCAGCTCCATCAGAGGACAAATTATTAAAAGTAAAACAGTACAGAATGATTGCAAAGTCACATTCAGTTTGTAATCCACATTTTAAAGAAAGTTATAGAGTACACAGGGGGTCTAGTAAACAATAAAAAGTATCAAAAGAAGGTATCTGAGGGAAGATTAAACAAGATAACATTAGTTTAGTTTGACCAAAGATCAAAAAATGCTAAGCACAGACAACCGTTTAAAATAAATGAAAAGTAGCCAAAAGATATGAACAAATCACTTTCAAGAGGAATGGTGCAAACTAGCAATAACTATATGAAATCATTAACAACAAAAGAAATGCAGAAAGAACTGTGACTTAACTGAGGCTCACACACTCCTCAAAATGACAAAAACAGAAAAAGCCAATGTTTTTTCATTCAAAGGACGGGCTTGTACTAAGACAGGCACACTAACACACTGTTGGTGGGGTTGGGAATTGACTCAATTGCCCTGGAAAACAATGTGTAATTAAATAAGAAAAGTCACTGGAGATTCCATTACTGTAAAGAAGAATGAAATATTTATTAAGTACTTACTATGTGCAAAGCATTGTGCTAAGTGCTGGGGACACAAATGGAACAGTAAGACAGTCTCAGGTCTCAAGGAGCTCCCATTTTAACAGAGGAGACAACACATAAGGAAGGTTTCAGCTACAAATCAGATGGAAGCATTCTATGGTCCTCAGGGTGCAGCTGCAAAGCAAATTGTTGCCTCTTCTTTACTATCACTGCCACTGATAAAATCATATTGACTTAGGATGTCCAGCCATTTGACAGTGCTAAGTAAGGGCTTTAAAGTGGCAAGAACTCCTTTGTAGGGCTTCATTAGCTGTGGCTGTAGCTCCAGCAGGAGCAGTTGCCAGGCTACATCTCCACTGGGACTGCTTCCCAGGATGATTCATTTATTCATTCATATAATTTCATTCCATAACTCATTAAATAAACATTTATTAAGCACCTGCTACTCTGTGCTAGGCACTGGGAATACAAAAAGAGCCAAAAGATAGTCCCTGCCTTCAAGGAGCTTATAACCTAATAATGGGAGACAACACACAAACAAACAAAGCTTGGTGGAGTAAAGATATCAGGCCCAAACTCCCTTGTGTTCACATGCATTCTCCAAAGTCAGTTAAATTCCTTGAGGCCTTCCAGGCCAGCTGAATCTCTGAGTTCAGAGACAAAGAACCACGACTTAAGCAATTACTAGACAAAAGCAGTTACAGAATAAAATCAATTAATTGTAAATAGGATCAACAAATAAATGATAAAAGAGAACATTTTGTATTTGTTCCTTGAGGCAATAGGAAACAATGGAGTTTACTGAGCAGGGGGAGTGACATGAGTGGACCTGCATTTCAGGATGATGGCTGTGGGTACTGGGCTAGAAGCACTCCTGTTCCCAAGGTTCTTGGGCTCTGTGTCCTAGGCCTTCTCCATTGAAGTCTAAGGGGAGATGGTGAGGAAGATGTCATAGTGGTGTTTTGACCTGTCTAGCAAATGTTGCCTCCTGTCTCTCCCTCAGGGTACAATAATGCTTCAGCTAGGCTACCTAGTCTGTCCTATAAGTATGGCAGACAATTGGCAAGTGGTGAAGATAACTGGACCTTTCTCTACAAGAGTCACATGCCCAGACACGAGGGCTGTGCCGAAAGCAAATTTTGCGGCTGTAGGGGATTCTATCAGGGTTCTTGAGCCTAGCTGCTTGTTGGTGAGAGTTGGTCAGCAATTGTTGCTGGTAGTGATGAGAATGGTGGGCTCCTTCTTCACAATGATTTCCCCTTTCAATGATGGCTGCAGAGGACAAAATGGAAGCAGGTCGAGTGGTTTAGGGGACATTACTATTCCCAAATTCTTGGATTCAGGGTCCTAGGCTATCTCCATCAGGAGAGATAGTGATCACGGTGGTGCAACTTTGACCTTCCTGGCAAATGCAGACTCCCATCTTCCCCTAAAGATACCCTGAGGGGAATTTCTTATATATACCAAAATATACATCGGAGCACTTTTTTATGTTAGCAAAGAATAGGAAACAATGGAGGTACCTAATGATCAGACAATGGCTGGACCAACATGGTGTATGAAGGTTAAGGAATATTATTATATTGTAAAAAAATGACTATGAGAAATTCAGAAAAACATGGAAAGATATATAAATTGATGTAAAATTAAGCACAAGGAAAACAATATACACAATAACTACAGAAGAACACTACTAAAACAAGGACAAATGCTGTATAATTACAATGACTAATCTTGACCTAGAAAAGGGATAAAGAAACGTTCCTCATTCCTTTAATTGGACAGGTAAGGACTATGAATGTAAAATGAAATATCAGCTGTGGGACTCGGTCACTATCTTGGATTTGCAATTTTTCATAGTGACTTTTTTGTTATAAGGAAAGGATCATTGAGGGAAAAAAGAAACATATTGGGGAGTTTGGGGGGATAGGAGAAGGGACTCAAAATGACTTTGATATAAAAACAAACAACATTAATCAAATTTTCTTATAATGTTTTATTTGCATCCCTAACACTAGCACAGTTCCTGGCTTTTTAACAAAATTAATTTTAGATGATAATTAGATGTTAGAAGTTAATAAAAGAAACAAGGAATTAATTAGTTTCTGACTCTAAGTATAAATACTTCAAGAGAATATACAGAAGAGAAATTATAGAAGCTATCTCTAGAAATCTCTAAAAACAGATATAGGTATATTAATATATAACCTATTGATCTGGTCTGGACATTTATTAGATTCTACATATAAATAATAATGACTTATAATAAGAATAAATGACTGTTTAACAAAATGCTTCTGGGGCAGTTAGGTGGCACAGTGAATAGACCACCGACCCTGAAGTCAGGAGGACCCGAGTTCAAATCTGGCCTCAAACACATAACAGTTACTAGCTGTGTGACCCTGGGCAAGTCACTTAACCCCAATTGCCTCACCCCAAAAAAAAAATGTTTCTCTGACTAAAGATAGCTCAAGCTTCTTGATAAGGGAATAATGCAACAATGGTGGAATGCCTAAATTACCAGACTCAGATAATGAATAATAGTTAAGAACACATGGTATCTTCTAATTCTTTTCCTATTTCCACATGATCAACTGTTTTGTACAGGATTCATTCATAGAATCATACCCACAGATGTCACCTAGTCCAACCACTTCATTTTACAGATAAGGAAACTGAGGCCTACAGCGGCTAAGTGACTCATCAGCAGTCATACAGCTAGTAAATGACAGAGCCAGCAGCCAAAATGCTGTCCTGTGACTCCACATTCTTTCCACTAACCTATACTGGACTTTCGCTTTTATAGAGAACATTCTTAGGGAGATAAACTAAGGGGAAAGAGAACAATACAATTAGCTCCTCTCTAAAATGAACAGGTTTTTCCAGCTTCTAGTTTCCTCCACCTCTAATAAACAGAAGACACAGAGAAAAGCATTGTCTATAGATTCTAAGTATTTAAAAATCATATTCCTCAGCAATTTATGCATTTAATATCAAACAAAATGAAGAAATCACATTACCTTTCACAGTACAATGTCTGAGTCTCTGCTGAAGAGAATTATATTTATCTCTTAAAGGTACTCTTATATCTTCAGAATTGGGAAAGGCTTTCACCAAAATTTCTGCTACCTGTGCAAAAATAAACTTATCTTAGTTCTATGGGCAAAAAAATAACAACAAAGTCAAAGTTGTGCAAAGTTCCAGCACCTAATGAGCTGAAAGTTTTACCTTTCTGGTGGGTGGTAGTTCTCCAATAAGACTCAAAATTATATCCTGTACAAGTTCTTCAATATTCATAAACCTAGAGAAAGGTAACATTCTACATGCCCATTCCAGTGCACTGAGACAGTGTTCTACCATACAAGAATCAAACTCCAACTCCATATCCTAGAGAGAAATTAACAGAGAGGGAAATAATTCTGGAAATATTTTTCTCTATTCAGTAAAATCACTTTAAAATAAGATTAAGACCATTTAGAGTAATTTCACAAAACAATCTGATGAATTCAGTATCATCACTATTATTTTATTATAAATATTAATACCTTTTTCTTTTCCACATTTTCTCTTGCTATTTGATATCGTCTACAACTGTATGACAATTTTTCCCGGACATGAAGCATCCAACACAGAGCACAGAGTTCTCTAAAGCAACCTGAATCAAAAATAGTTATGTAACTCACAAATATTAGTCAATATATACTCATGCCTTTGTATTTTAAAGAGATATACAGAAATGTTCCAAAAGTCTTAGTGCAGTTTTAAGCTACTAAAGCTTTAAAGTGTGCTAAGACTTTTTTTTGGGGGGGGGGGGCGCTAGGCAATGGGGTTAAGTGACTTGCCCAGGGTCACGCAGCTAGTAAGTGTCAAGTGTCTAAGGTCGGATTTGAACTCAGGTCCTCCTGACTCCAAGGCCAGAGCTCTAACCACTTCGTCACCTAACTGTCGTTCCCCCGTGTGCTAAGACTCTTGAGACACCCTGTAAAAATACACACATTATGTAATATCCTTTAGATCACCACATAAGCTCCAGTGAGTTTACCAGATAAGGAATTCCCAGCACCAATGCAGATCAACATTCTGTAACTTATAGTCATAGAGAATTGTCTGGGGAATTGCAAGATGCCTTTGCTCAGGGTCACAGACAGTATGCCAGAGGCAAGCCTTAAACCTACTTCTTCCTGACTCTGAGGACCAGCTCTCTATTATGCCATGCTGCCTCTTTTTGTTGTTCTTATCGTTGTTGAGTCGTTTCAGTCATGTCTGACTTTTCGTAACCCCATTTGAGGTTTTCTTGGCAAAGACAGTGCCATTTCCTTCTCCAGATTATTTTACAGATGAGGAATTGAGGCAAACTGGGCTAAGTGACTTACCTAGGGTCACACAGCTAGTAAGTGTCTGAGGTCAGATTTGAACTCATGTAGATGAGTCCTCTTGATTCCAAGCCCAATGCTCTATCTACAGCACCATCTAGCTGCCTTTGACTCTTGGGTATATATTACATAAATACACTTACTAAAATACACTACTATATATAGCCTCTGTACACTCAAAGTTTAAAAAAAAAAAGACTTATTGCCCACCTCCACCTAAAAATCTGCATTTTCATATGGGTAATTTTTTCTACTTGATCTCTAAGTGTGCTTCCTTGGCGGGTAGAGGGATGGCAAGTGGGAAAAGTTTTCAAAACTGTCTCTAAAGAAATAAAAAATTCTTCTACCATATCTATTAGACTCAAAAATACCTACCTGATGACAAAGAATTTTAAAATTTGGGAGGCAGAACATATCTTAAACTCCATCTAGCCTACGTCCTCCAAAGATGAGCCAAGTGCAAGTTAGGACTTGCCTGATGCCACACGGCTTCTTAGTGGCAAAGCTGAGCACGTTCCAAGAGGACTAAGGGGCCAAGGTCAATACCAAACATGGAAGAGGACTTAGACCAGGAGTGTCAAACTCCAATAGAAACAGGAGCCACTGAACCATTCACAAGGATTGTTGAAAGGTGCATACTGACTTAGTTTTAAAATGTGATATTATCTGTTTTATTGTATTTTTATTTATTTTTGTTAAATGTTTCCTATTTACATTTTAATCTGGTTTGTGTTGCACTCAGGGGTGTGGTGGGCCCCATTTTGACACCTCCAGCCATCACCTAATTCCTATTCTTGTTTTCCTGAAAGATTCAAGAAGCTAAAGGAATCAGAGGAATGCAGGGGGGGAGGGGAGGAACAACCTTCAATCTCTAATTTGTAGAGTTCTAGAATCTAAAGGACACCTATTTCCGAAGCCTGGCACATTTTGCCATCTCTCATTCTTTCCTAAGAGTGCTTCCTCTAGGGACAGACTATAATAAAGCATAAAAGACTATAAAGGGGAAACAAGCTGGTACAGTGGATAGAGCACGGGTGCTGGAGTCATGAGGACCTGAGTTCAAAGCAGGCCTCAGATACTTGATACTTACTAGCTATGGGACCCGGGGCAAGTCACTTAACCCCAATGCCTAGCAAAGAAAACAAACAAACAAACAAACAAACAAAAGCAAACAAACAAACAAAAAAAAAAAGACAATGAAAAACAATCCAATTGCCAAATGATGGGGGCCCAGAGAGAGAGACAAATTGCATTCCAGATAACCTCTCTAACTTCTAATTCTGATGCTGAGCCCTGCCATTCTTTCATTCACATGCCAAAAGATAGGCATGTGTAGAGATGGACGTGAAAAAATATTTTTTAATCTTAAAAAAAGTACAAAATTAATGGTTATAACCAGTTTCCTGATTTAAAAAATGAAAGGGTTGGACTAGATAATTTCTAAGGTCCCATCCAACTGAAAATTCTATAAATTCATTTAAGTATCACCTAAAGCATAAACCGCGTTATTCAAACCACAATCACAACCACTATTTAATGGCATAAGACCCAAATTGCAGAAACTGTGGCCCCAAAATATGTACATACCCTTGAGTGCTGAAATTACAAATTTAAAGTTCTAACATAAAAATAGTAACCAAATTTTTAAATATTTTTGAATAGCGGCAACATAAATAGTGGCAACATAAAATTTAATAAAAAAAAATAGTGGCAACATAAATTCCTGTTACAAAATATGAAATATAAAAATTAAAAATAAAAATATTTTGACATGCAAAAGGTGCTCTATTCTATTATTTTAAGAGGTTGGTTTTTTTTTTTTTAATCTGGGAAAGTCCCTTATCACATGCAGTGATTTAGGCCCAAATCAACTTATAAATCATTAAGTTCATAGTGTTACAAACCTATCGTTTTACAAGAAACTTCATCAAGCTTTTGGTCTTCAAGGGCTCTGGGTCGATAGAATGCCATACCAACTTTACAATAATGAAGCAAAGACTCTGGAAAAGGACTCAATAAAGGAAGGGAGCCTTTAATTCGAATCTGAAAAGAGAAAAATGATAAAAAAATTAATTTTACAGGAATTTAGAAATCACAAGTACATTAGATTTCACAAGAACCATTGTGGGCCTAGGCAAATATGAGGGGAACAGGAATAACAAGGTAACTGAACCAGAAATTTATAAAACAAAGCAACGTTTGTTTAGTTCACCAGTGAGGGTATCTCTCCCAACTGGGCAAAGTCACACCATTCAGGGAGGGAGCAGTGCTTTTTATATGGCTGGAGAGGAGTGGGGATGGGGTAAAAGTTGATTGGTTAAGGTCCATATCACTGGAGCTCAAGGTTAATCTGTTTCAGGATTAGGGGTTTCTTCATAACAGGATACAGGGGGCTAGGCTGTTTCTCAGAACAGGCTGCATAATAGGATATCATGGCATGTCCTCCTTTGGGTTACTTGCATTGTAACAGACACATGAGAGATTAGAGACACAAAAGGATGAACAAAATGGAGTAATTCTCAAAATGGAGTAGCTCTAGATCCATATAAACACTTTATTTACTCAAATAGAAAAGAAAATGAGACTATGACAAAATTTTGTCATAGCCATACAGTTAAAATCTTTCTAGAATCAATTATACTTTAAAAAACCTACCTAATCATTTAAATCATTCTGAAGCTTGCATATATCTTTAGAGAGGAAAAAAGAATCTAAGTAAATTATTTAACTTCTCTTATTTTTTCACCATTTCTAAAACAAGGAAAACATAATTTATTCTCGGCTTTCTCTAGAGTAAAACAGAGAAGGCTGAAACTTGTAAAGCCTTCTGATCTCTAAGCCTGGTTTCTCAATGAAATCAACATTATTTCCTATTTACTGTTTATAAGCATGATTTATCAGAGGGCGGCCTAGTGTGTGGTTCAAGTCCTGTTTCTGACACTCCCAGCTGGGTGCCCCTGGGCAAGGCCTTTGACATCTCAGGGCACTGGCCAATATGCAAAAACTATGAGGTGCACAGACAAACTGTATTTGTAGAACACACCTCCAGATGACAGATGAAAACATAGATCTAAGCCCTAATAGCCAGGTCTGGTTATTTTTTAATAGTCCTAGACAGATCAGGTGATTGTCCTGTACATGTTAGCCCATGATCTAAAGAATTTCACATAAGCTTATGGTTGGTCATATAAAATTTTTAAGAAAAATTAACAAAATCCATCCCAGTCCTGCTCTGCAAAATGTGCAAAAAGGTCTAACGTTTTTAATAACTTATTTTAACCTGTCTGATACTTCTTCATACATATGTGAATGTGGGGCAGGAAAAGCTGACTGACCATCGGTCATCTCACCCACTTGGGCTCCTCTTTCTTTTTTATTTTCATTTGGCCATATTTTTATTTACTACATATATAAAAACATATGTTACATGCTACAAAAATTTTTTTTAAAAAAAGATTTTTAACTGTCAAGAAAGTGTATAGTATTATAATACAATGGCACGTGTTTATATTTTGTTCCAAATTGGTTTGCTTATCACCCTTTCCAAACCATTAACAGTGAAATGTTACTAAAGGACAATTAAAAATTATCTATTTGCATTAACAATTGGGCTCCTCTTTCACCAATGACATTCCTATTTCTAGCACAGCCTCACATTAAATCAGACATTTACTAGGGGCCTGTAAATAGATAGTCAGAGCTTTGTGCTAAGGGGACACTAATAAAATGACAAAGTTTCCCCATCCTCAGGGAGCTTCAAATCTAGCCTCCATATGGTGAGCAAGCGAGCAAGCATCAGAAGTGACTATTTCACAAGGCAAGAAATACAACAGAAAAGACTGACTCCACAAGTGAGACACTGAGCCAGACCCCCACTCCACTTCATTGTAAAAATAACTGAGACAGACATAAAAGAGGGAACAGGATGATGAGAAAGTTGTATCAGTCAAGATGGTAAAGACAAACAGCAGGGCCAAGGGTGAAGGTGACATTACCTTTTGCATCACTTTTCTCGCCCATCTCAATTTTAAGATGTACCACTGAGCTGCAGGAAAGGAGCAACAAGCTGCCCGGAAGAGCAGAAGGATTCGCTGAAGGATGCCAGACACCTTCTGGCGATAATCCTTCTCAGCTTTTAACAGGAGATCATCACCATGGTCCTGAGAAAAGCAAAGTAAAAAGAGGAAATATATCATGTTTGTAAGTGAAGGGAAAGGAACAATCATTAATTAAGATCTTTATTATGTGCGAGGCACTGTGCTAAGGACTTTAAAAAACATTATTTCATTTGATTAGGGAATCAATCAAATAAGGAATTTTAAAAGTTAAAGCAAAAAAGAAAGAAATGATGATATTTAATGGCCCTCAAACTGAAAAGTTACTGAAGAATTACAAGGGGTAAGACAGTGCAATCAACATCAATCAATCCTCATGCTTCAGGGAGACACTGTCGTGGTTCTTAGGGACTCCAGCTGCTGCTATTTCATGAGGACCCCACATTTGCTCTTTCCAGAGCAGTACAGGGACACATCTTTCTGATTCCATTTTCCCCCATACTTAACAAAATGGTATAGTATCTCTATATTGGGGCAGAGAACGCCAAGGAAATTAGATGAGAAGCAGCATAGCATAATGGATAGTGTGAACCTCTTCAAGTCAGGAAGACCTAGATTCAAATTCTGTTTCTGACACTGGCTGGATGACCTAGGACAAGTCTCTGATAGTCCCAGTTCCTCATCGGTAAAATGAGGGTGATGATAAGAGCACCTGCCTCAAAAGAGGATTGTGAAGATCAAATAATATAATGCCTGTAAAGCATTTTGTAAACATGCTATATAAATACAGGCTATTACTATGATGATGATGATGATGATGACGATGATGGTGATGATGATGATGAGAGGTACAGCAGAGATCATGGCTTCACTCAGAGAAATTGGAAAGTGAAAAATATGATAAAGTCAGTATTTCTAAACAGGCAAAGCACAAAATTTCCAAAAACGTTTTAGTGCAGTTTCTAACTACAAAAATCAATATAATTATAAAGACAGAGAAGACAACTATTGAGGATCTAAAATTTACTTTGCATCAACTCTTCCATTTATTATCATAAGCAAACTTCTATACCTATTCACTTTCTACACTTTATATTATAATACATTTTATAAAATGATATTCTTTTTTTTCTTTTTTTTTTTCTTTTTTGAGGCAATTGGGGTTAAGTGACACGCCCAGGGTCACACAGCTAGTAAGTGTCAAGTGTTTGGTCTGAGGCTGGATTTGAACTCAGGTCCTCCTAACTTCAGGGCTGGTGCTCTAACCACTGCGCCACCTAGCTGCCCCAATGATATTCATTTTTAAGAAAAGTCTTAAAAACAAATAGCAAGGGCTTGTATTAAAAGAGAAGGTAGAAAAATAAAACCATCCAGAATTTGTTTTTCCATTTAAGATTCAAAAATTTAACAAATGTGTACAAAATACTGTCTAGAATATTGAAGAATAAAGATAAGATATAATAGGTACTATCTCAAAAATAAAATAAAATTTCCATTTTGATATGAACTTTACTGTAAAAAAAGGTGAGGTAGTTTCCGTGCTTAAAATAGATATGGATAATACTAAGATTTTCAGTAAGGATGGAAAAAGACAAAATCAAGATCCATGATTAGAATAACAATGAGATGCAGCTTGGTTAAATGGAAAGAACACTGTACCCCAAAGAGATTAAAAAAAGAGGAAAAGGATCCAATGTACAAAAATATTCATAAGTTATTTTTGTGGTAGCAAAGAACTGGAAAATTAGGGAGTGCCCATCTATTATAGAATGGATAAAGAAATTATGGCAAATTAATGTAAGATTGTTGTGCTGTAAAAAAGGTATGAAATAGTTTCAAAGAAACTAGGAAAGACTTGCATGAATTGATAAACAATGAAGTGCGCAAAATCAGGAAAACAACTTTGAAAGATTTGAGAATTCTGATCAATATAATGACCAACTATGAAACTAGAAGCCTGACAAAGCAGCATGTTGCTCACCTTTTGACAGAGAGGTGATGTACCCACATGCAGAATAAGACACACATTATCAGGCACAGCAGAGGTGGAAGTTTATTATACTTGATTATTTATA